AAAGTAAAGTTAGCACGCGTGGACTGTGCGACCAGGAGTCGAACCCCTGCCGTTTTATCGGAGATATCTCGATTATAGAAGGCCAAACCACATCACTGGCCGACTTCCTCTACTTTGCAATTGAGGTGTCGTGTGTGCTTTTCGCGTGGGAAACGAAAGACCGTCCGCACAAAGTTCGTGAAGTGCGAAATCGGACTCTGCATTTCCGGATTTTTTAGAATTCCACACGAAGGCAACATTCCAGCAGATGACGCAGGTGGGAAGACAGACACTCCATGCAGATGGCGGCCAAAAATTATATAAGTAGGACGTTATTTTCTACCTTAAAAATGTATTTCAAATAACGTCCGCACGCGCGGACTTTGCGACACCACATGGCGTCATTCGTACCGCTGCCTTTACTATCTGCGACGACATACGTTGTCTTTAGTCGTTTAAAGGTTAACAACTATGTCATGAAGAAAGGGGGGGGATATAGCCCCACCATTCTTGACCTTGACACTAGCTGGAAGTGAGTAGTCAGCTGCATGCCCGGTCACTTTGCCTCTGGGGAAAGAGCCACTTGTACCCATTGTATTGGAAGCTGGGTAGGCACAAGAGTCAGTCCAGATACAGTAGATAATAGAAAAATCTCTTGTCCTGCTGGGAATCAAACCCCAGCCATCCAGCATATAGCTTATTGCTGAACTGACTTAGCTATCCCAGCTTCAGTCTGTTAAGATATACATTTTTATTTGATGTATCAGGATCATTGTGTCTAGTAAAGTGGGCACTTCTGAATTCATAAATAAATAGGTTGGCTGTAGGCACCATTCATGTAGCTCAGCATTATGCATTGTTGTCATTTCAGGAGAAAATGAAGTCTGGTGAACGATCTGTTGTGATCACTTTAGATGATGAGGAGATGGAGTACTTGTCTGGGCATGTAATTGATGGCAGAAATCTCTTCCCTGCAATGGGCTACCTTGTGAGTTTTACACTGCTCTCAATATGTCTGAAACTTTGATTTGGCTCCAGAGTTCAGGGTCTTTATTATCCTAATAGTATGCATTCTGTTGTGTGTTATAAATAAGATATATAAATCTATGCAGTCTACACAACAATACTCTGTATTTAAAAACAAAATAGACACTATTGACGCTACATATTTCGACCCTTATTCTGGGTCATCATCGGGTGTACAATTATACAAGTCTCAGTTGTTGAATTGCATCTAATTCTTCAATAAGGATCCTCTTTAGTGTTTTTATTTTTTATTTATGAGGCGTTGTTATTCACCTTGGTCAATAAATTTCCTGTTATTACAGAATCCAAATGTTCATCACACTTGTCACTAAAACCCACCATCATTCCAGTTCATATTTTCACAGTCTATTTCTCTAAGGTCCATTAATATTATCTTCCCAACTATGTCCAGATCTTTTTTCTCATCTCTAAAGATTTTCCAAACAAAATTTTGTACCAATTTCTTCTTTTTGCTTGTATGTTACTAATCTTGCTATCTCTTCTTGTATGATCCAGTCACCCTGATAATACCAGGTGAAGAGTGTGAAATGTGAAGCTTCTCATTGTAAGATGTTCCCCGTTTTCCTGTTGCTTTGTGTCCTTTTACTCCAAATATACTCTCCAGCACTTTTCCAAAATATCTCTTGTGGTAATACGTAACTATCTAATTAACTCCCTCTTGAAAATCCAACAGTTGCTCAGCTACTCAAGAATTTTCCAAAATTTTATGGAACCTGAAAGTTCATTACTGTTTTCACAAGAACCCTCCACTGGTCCCTGTCCTGAGCCAGATCAGTCCAGTCCATAGCACCCCATCCCAGTTCTCTAAGATCAATTTTATTATTGCCCTCCCACCCTTCTTCGTAGTGATCTCTTTTCCTTCTGATTTTCCTCTTTTCTCCCATGCATGCTACATGCCATGTCCATGTCATCCTCCTCGGTTTCATAATTTTTTATTATATTTGAGAAGAGTTCAAGTTAAGAAGTTGCTCATTATGTAATTCCTAATATATTGCCCATCACAATATATTATGTGTAAATTGATGAATGTTACAAGGTACAGAAGGTTTTGCTATACATACACATAAAGCTTCCCCTGCTTTGAACATATTTTGTTTAACTTGATACAAGCAAGGCATGTAGGAGCCAGTCCTAGATTCATTGGTTTTGCTTTCTTCTCTTCAGGCCCTTGTCTGGGAGTCAGTTGGGCTGATGGCTGGACAGCTGTACACCGAAGTATCTGTTGTATTTAAGAACGTGCAATTTCACAGAGCTACCAACATACCTAAGGAAGGTATGTACATTAGTATTCTAATTAGAGTTGCCTGTCTTGAAATAGTTTCACATATCCTGTCACTAGAAGTTAATCTGTGTACAAGTACATTGTTTGGGATATTTGGTTCCCTTGTGAATTTCTTCTGTGATTTTGATTACATAATGTAGAAGAATTTCTCAAAGTTGTGCTGGTCAGAAAGGGAGAAACTGCAGGATGCTTCACAGTTTTTGTAGTTTCATGCTGCCTGTTTAACATGTTTTTGCAGGAAGCATTGAGTTTATTGTTATGGTACAGAAAGGAAGCGGCAAGTTTGAAGTGGTGGAGGGCAGCACAGCTATTGTTAGTGGTTCAGTTCACCTGCCAGAGAACATCTCTCGGGAAATTGCACCTATGGAGCCTCCTAAGCCAGTGCATTGTGATGAGCTGCTTGAACTTACATCACAAGACATCTACAAGGAACTGCGGCTGCATGGCTATAACTACCAGGGATATTTCCATAGCCTTCTCTCTGCAGATAACCTTTGTGGGTGTAAATACTCTGTTCCATTAAATCTTCATTTTTGCAGCGTTATCAACTGCCATTCATTACTATTGAGTCAGATGATGTATCCTTTCAATTTTGACATAATATGAAAATATTACTTTAATATGAGGTCTGCTTAATAACTGGACCACATTTTTAATATGGAAGTGCATTATAACTAACCTTTAGTAAGTGCTGTTATCTTCAAATGGCTCACTTTATGATTTTGTATATACATTCTTAGATCTCTCTAATATCCTGAAACATTACTGGAAATATTTTTTTGGACTCATTCCAGTATGCCATAATGTTGCTGTTAATGTCATGTGATTCATAATAAGATCTTTTTAAAGAGCTTTGCAGCTTTGAGTATCACTGGGTCAGATCATGTGAATACAAAAAATATTGAAATCCCAGTATATGAAGGAATATTCTGGCCCTTTCTTTTTGAAGTGCAACAAAGTTTCTCGTATTTTGCAGGCCGAACAGGAAAAATTCATTGGCGCAACAACTGGGTGGCATTTATGGACAATATGCTTCAGCTAGATTTGCTTTCACAAGACACACGAAGTTTGTTTGTTCCAACCTCGCTTGAGAAGCTCACGATAAACACTAAGCAACACGTTGCCATTGTCCAGGCTCTGGCTGCTGAGAGCGAGGAAGTTGGTGAGTGCTCACAGTCAGTTAAAATATAATTTTAAGCCAAGCTCAACTCTCATATGCACCTTGAACTGATGTGTTAAGGAGACATAACAAGTCTGACTAAATAAAGCTGTGTGAATTTTAATTCTTAATTATTTCTTTGAACTAACAAACTTTTGTTTACCCAGCATGACAAATTGCACTGTTTCCATAAAAGCTGAATAGTTTTGCTTGTATGTTAAGTTGATACAAAACTGAGATATCCACAATCAAAAAGGACCACTTCCTTCCATTCACCAAGATATCCAGAATCAACCATTCTCAGTCATTCACTTAGGTGCCTGGAATCACAAAGAACCAATTCCACCCATTCACTGAGGTACCTGGAGCCACAAAGAACCACTTCATCTCATTTATTGAGGTATCTAGAATCACAAAGGACCATTTTCTGTCATTCACTGAGGTATCCAGAATCACAAAGAACCACTTTCTCCCATTTACTGAGGTACCCAAAATCACAAGGGACCATTCCCAGTCATTCATTGATGTATCTACTATGTAGAACTACAAAGAACCATTTACACTCATTTACCACAGTATAAACATCTTTCACACATGACTTACGTGCAGTCTCTGCCTGTATTATGAGGCTATGTCATGCATGTTTTGCTTGTTTGCAGTGATCCCAGTGCATGTATACAAGGAAGTGGGCATCATCCAGTCTGGAGGTATAGAAGTGCGAGGACTTAAAGCAAGTGCCATAGCCCGGCGCAGGCCTCTGGGAGTCCCTGTGCTTGAAAAATATATGTTTGTGCCCAATGTGGAACCGCCAAGCCTGGACTTGCACACCGCATTACGAATGTGCATACATATTATTCTGGAGAATCAAATAAGCAACCACGTGAAGGCAGTAGAACTGCCTCATCATGATAGGATGCCTCTCTCACCCACATTGGCTCTCATTCTTGGAGACCTTCCACTTATTCAGGTAAGTTTCCAACTCATATTCAGAAGTTCTTTACATGAACAATTAGAATTTGTCATTACACCAAATATCTTCTTCAAATTATTGATTGTTGGTTTTGTAGTTGATTCAGTGATACTCATTATTCATGAATGTCAACATATCAAAACAAAATGAAAACCCAGACTTAGAGACTATGCTTATAATTAACCTAACCTAGTATTTGATGCCATGTAAAATTATATACATTAATATAAGTATTTAAATCTAAATTTACTGTATTTGAAATTGAAGGTAATAGCAATAAAAATTGTCATAATAATTTAAATCTGAATTTAGAAAGTGCTATATTACAAAATATATGGAGTGATATAACCCAGAGTGCTCTGAGTGAAACAGTGCATAGTTTAGACTGTAGATTTTCAGATTTGGATAAAACACTTGGTGAGGTGAAACACATAAGAATAGAAACAGTACTGTGCCTACATTAGAGTATTCATCCATGGACATTACTTGTTTATGGACATAGTGTATCAATTTTCTGGGTCATCTGTTAAGTTTAATAATCCTCTTGATTCTCTTACATCAAAATATCAGAGGTCTCATCAGTAAAAGGGATGAAATAATTGTTTCCCTAAATGTAGACAAGATTAGTCCACAATTTCTATTTTTTTCAGAGCATTATATGTCAGACAGCAATTTAAGTCTTGTTAGTATTGAAAATCATGTGTTAGGGTCTTGCTACTCTAGATGTAGGTACCAGAGAGGTGGTGTTTGTATATTTGATCTTAAGGAATTATGTTTTAGTCATGTTGATTTATCAACCTACTGTGTGGAAAAAATTTTAGAATTATGTGCTGTTAAAATAGAATCTAATGGTCTGGGTTTAGTTGTTGTTTGTTTATATAGATCTCCTGCAGGTGGCTTTTGTCAATTCTTGAATCTGTTAGAACAAGTTCCGTTGTTTTTGTATAAACCATCTATTGAATTATTAATATGTGGAGATTTTAATGTTGATTATTTACTAAATGATAACCGTAAACAGCAATTGTCTGTATTACTTAACACGTTCAATATGGTACATACTGTTAATTTCCCGACTAGACTGCAAAATAATCATGCTTCAGCTATTGACAATATTTTAGTAGATAAATCAAGATTATCTTCTTTTATAACATTACCTCTATGTAATGCACTGTCTGATCATGAGGCACAATGTTTCATACTTGATAAATATTTTGCTACTAATAAAAAAATTAACAATAAATCAAGATCTAGTTATAAATCTAGATTTCTGACTAGTGAAACTATTAATTATTTCACTGAACAGCTATCTTATGAAAAATGGAATGAAGTTTATCTTAATACTGATGTTAATTGTGCTTTTAATAAATTTGTATCTATATTTTTAAACAATACTTGAGCAATAACAATGATAAAACTTGGATGACTATTGGTATAAAGACATCTTGTAAACATAAAAGATTTTTATATAAGTTAATCTAATATAGTAACGATCCAAAAGTAAAAACTTATTATAAAAAGTATTGTCCTATTTTAAGGAAAGTAATTTATGAAGCAAAAAAATTATATTATAATCAGTTAATTTAAATTTATAATAATAGAAATAAAACAGCATGGAATATTATAAGAAATGTATTGCATAAATCCACCAGAGACAATTATATGCCGGTTACGTTTAAAATGGATAATAGGAACATTCAGTTTAAAGATGTAGCTGATGCTTTCAACGAGTATTTTTTTAATATTGCTCATAGTTTGCAAACACATCCAGATAAAACTAGTTCACCTCTTGAATTATTAAAGAATGCTTATCAGCCCATTTTACAGAGTATGAAAGTAATTCCTGTAACCAAAGGAGAAATTATCAATATAATTTGTTCTTTAAAATCAAAGAAGTCCTCTGGTTATGATTTCATCTAAAATATTAAAACTTTGTAACGTCTTTATAAGTGCGCCCCTTTCCTACATCTGTAATATGTCTATCATTACTGGTGTATTTTCTGAACACTTGAAGTATGCTGTTATGAAGCCCCTGTATAAGAAAGGAGATAAGGTTGATATTACGAACTGTAGACCTATTTCTATGTTGACTGTATTTAGTAAAGTTATGGAAAAAGTTATGCATTGTAGATTGAGTCAGCATCTACAAGTCAATAATATTCTGGTGCAGGAACAGTTTGGCTTTAGGAAAAATTTCTCAACAGACCATGTCGCTTTTTCTTCTACGACTGGCATACTTCAGGACTGGAATGACAAACTGCAAACTGCAGTGATTTTTTGTGACTTTGTTAAGGCTTTTGACTGTGTTAATTATGAGATATTGACATCTAAACTAGAGTATTATGGTGTCCAGGGTGGTATATTAAACTGGTTCAAATCATATCTATTGGATAGAAAACAGAGCGTGTACATTAAAACTAATGATGGTCAGGACTATTTTTCATCTCGGGAAAGAGTTAGGCAAGGGGTTCCTCAGGGGTCGGTTTTGGGATCACTTCTATTTATTATTTACATTAATGATTTGCCTCCATATATTAATAAACTGGCTAAAGTTTTTCTTTTTGCTGATGATACCAGTATTTTGGTTACCAGTAATAATCATGCTCAGCTTAAGCATAAAGTCATGGGTACACTCTCTTTTTGTAAATTGGTTCACAGCTAATAAGTTGGCCTTAAATATTACTAAAACTAATATTATTAGATTTGCTCTAAAACAGTCTGGCAGTTGCTAGCGGGAATTTGTTTATGAATGACGTTCCTGTGATAACATTTTTGGGTCTTCAAATTGATAATTTGGATTGGAAGAGTCATATAGCGCATATTCTCCCTAAACTTAGTTCAGCTATTTTTGTAATTAGGAGTTTATCTTATTTTATGAGTCAAAATATTTTACAAATGGTGTATTTTTCTTATTTCCACTCTATTCTTAAGTATGGAATAATTTTCTGGGGGAACTCAACGAATAATGTTAGAGTTCTTAAATTAAAAAAAAAAAAAAAGGATGAGACTCTTGTCTCTTTTTAAGAAATTGAATATACTGCCATTGTCATGTGAATACATTCTCTTGTTGATGATGTTTGTGATTGATAATCAAACTAAATTTTGTTCAGGTTTAGATGCTCATAGTTTGAATACAAGAAATCGAAAGCAATTATATTTGCCAAACTCGAATCTTTCTGCTTTTCAGAAAGGTACGATGTTTACCGCTATTATACTATTCAACAGATTGCCCATACCCATTCAAAGCCTTAAAGAGGATAGAATTAGATTTAAAAATAAGCTGTCTTTATATCTTATGAATAATTCCTTTGATACAGTTTCTGAATATGTGGAACTTAACATAAACAATTAGTTTTAATTATTCTGTTATCTGTGTGTTTGTTTACATTTTTTGTAATTTTTTTTTTTTTTTTTTGATATGACGACCTTCATGTCCATTGGTTTTGGACTTATAAAATGAAATGTATGTATTTATATATGGATGTATGTAATCAGATTTCTAAAAGGGAGTACAGATTCAAAGTAAAGACAAAACTTTTATAAGCACATCAGTTGTCCAAGATCTTTTTTTAAACCTTATAGCTCCATGACTGATTATATTGATAGGAAGAGAAAAATACATAACATATCACTAATAGCTCAGTTACTGTAGTGACCAGACTATGGATTGGATGACCTGAGACTCTGGGTTTTATCCCTGTCGGGCAGGGTTCTTTTCTGTTTTCCACAGAGCCTAAACCAGCTCTGGGGCCCACCCAGTTCCTCATCCAAAAGTCACCAGTAGTTTCTTCACTGGGGGTAAAGTGGCCAGAGCAAGAAGTTGACTACTCACTTCCATCTAGAGCTGAAGTTAACATTTTATGGAGCCATTTCTTCACTCTCCCTTAAGATCTGTTTCTAAACTAAGCTATACTAAGAAAGTGTCAGTAGCTTATTTATCATTGCAGGCAGACATAACAATTCTCACAAACCAAGACAACCCACTGGTAGCAGACTTGGATATGACTGGAATCAAGGTTGAAGACAGGAAGCTTCTTGGAGAACAGAATTGCATGCTTGTCATTGCCTGCAATGTCTTGCACCACACTAAGCTACAGCAGACTGCAGTTAGTGCCCTGGCTGATGGGGCCTGCATCTTAACCCGTGAGAACCCTGACACAAAGTATATGGGTAACAGTCGCTTTGGATTTGAGGTTGTATTCGAGAAGACTCTGGGAGATGAAAAATTTGTCTTGCTAAAAAAGGTATGTATGTAGCTCAAATAATAGCACAGTAGTAAATGTACATAAATAGTGGCCTCCGTAGTCTAGAGGCAACGTTCCCACCTCATGACTCGTAGTACTCGGGTTCAAATACCTGGCGGAAGTCGTCGAATTTTTAAGGGTGGAAAAATTCAGGGAACAAGTCCTCCGGGAGGACTTGTTACTTTAAGCCGTGGGTCCCGTGTCGTAGCTTTACAGCACGTAAAAGAACCTCATACCTCCAAAGGAGGTCACTAAGCCAAAATTGCGGACGTTTGCCGCCCAACAGCAGTCACTAATACCTCCGGTAGATGGGGGGAAGCATTATAGATACTTCTCAGCCAGTAGAGCCGGTCTCGCTGGCTGGGCGGAACTGATGGTAAGCACCAGTACCGGCAGGATATAGAGGCTGGTAGAAATCATAGAGGGAAGCACAATGGACCACTACAGGTCTAAGTGCATGGGGAAACCCACCCTCTCTAATAACTAACTAACTAACTAAATGTACATAAATGCAAATGTCTGCTAGAGCAATTAGGAAGGCATAGGGAACATAAAATTAATTTAATGTAACATGCAGACAGATGCTTTGCATATTCACAGAGGTTTGAACGTTTATTTAGTATATGTATTAAGCTGAACTTATTATGGCATATTTGCTTGGGGCAAGAACTGTGAAGCCAGCTGAGACAGCCGTTACTAAAGAACAGCTTCATAAACAAGCACGTTCCCACAGCAACAGTTGAATACAACAATAACAGGAAGTGGTGTTTTCTGCGCAGTCCATGCTGAAATGTTATAAACAGGATAATTATAGAGATCCATCCTCTCTTTCAGTTAAAAAAAAAAATCTGGTCATGATCCTCAAGGAGCTTGGCACCGAGATGAGCTGATTGGCAGTAAACTGCCAGTCATAAAATAACTCTGACTCCAAAATTCACCACCTTGCGAGAGAAGATGTTATGTAGGCATTATAACTGCAAGGGTTCAGTTGCAAAAAGGAACAACTGTGGTTTTAAGTCTGAAGGGGACTGGTGCCAAGACAAACTGATTGGCAGTAAATCACCAGTCATAAAGTAACTGTGACTGTGACTGTGACTGTGACTGACAGTTTTCAGTTAGTATGTCAAGAGTTGCTTTAGCTGAGGACAGGGCAGTTCAGGAACCCAGAGGAAGGGGATTGTCTGCCATTGGAAGCCATTACCAAAACACTGGTGAAGACACAGCAGGCTGAGAAGACTTATGTCTGTGCTGTATTGAACTGTCAAGTGTGTAAATTAGTGAAACAGTTATAATTACTTGTAGTCACAGATCTGTAAGTGTTCAATAAATCCAGTTATCAATCCAAACCCAGTATACAATTACACAATCATGTGACGTTATAGTTAAATCCACTACACATATAGCATGCCATTTTCAGTGCAAATCGTGATTTATAACTGTGTAAGGGCAGCTTGCTGTTGGGGTGGCATAAAGTAGAACTATTTACAGTTGCATATCTGTCTCCTTTATTGCAAATTATAACTTTTCTTGAGATTTAAAATGGAATATAAAGTATCTGCTTAAGTTCCTATAGGTTATTCTGTTGTTCATAAGTATATGTGCTTTATGAACAGTAGAGGTCATTTTGTGCTGAATGAGTTGGGGTAATGTTTATACCCACATACACTGCAGAGAATTAGAAAGGGTGGAGAAGAATGTTGTTGTGGCCTGATATTATACAGTGTCCACAGATTTGCCTGACATTTAAGTTAGTTTTATTCACAGTCTTACAAACGCAACTTTTCATAGAGTTCTGATGGACGTATGGCTAATGCCAGGCTGTCATATCCCACTCTCTTGCCTCACTCTTCATACAATATGTGTCCGCCTTATAAGGCCATCATCAGGTATACATTATGTTGTAAGTTGTGACACTGCTTAACAGGCATAAGAAAACCATGTGGTGGCACAGGATAGCATGGTCTGAACTGCTTACTCGCTGAATGTGGGTGAACTATATTAATTTGTGCTCTACTGCTGGTGCTAGCAGTACTTGTTAGGAACAGCAGGAGAATTCTGAAATCATTCTGACTATAGTGAAATATTCTAGTGCTTCTGTTGGGATTTATGTCTTGTAAGTAGATTTTGTACCTGTCATGGTATCCCAGCATGTCAGAAGGTCTGATTTTTTATGTTGGTGTTGTAGGGAGTGGTAGTGAGTAATCCAGTTGTCATCCACGTAAGCGCCCAAAACTATGACTGGTTGCCACAAATACAGGCCGTTATTGATAGCAGTTCTAAACGTCGCATCATATTGGTTGCTCAGAATGAACCACTAAATGGCATCCTCGGTCTTGTTAATTGCATCCGCAAGGAGCCAGGAGGCGAGCCCGTAAGGTTGGTGTGGTGATTTTAGACTAAGAATAACCTATTTCTACTTAAATCTGAGCAATTTAAAATTGTTGCTACTGTAATTGTTCAGAGTCATAATTGTACTTCATGAAGTGGCTCACAACTTACCATAAACCACATTTCTAAACATACCAAATGTTGTGTAGTTTTGTGATCTTCCCCATTCAGTACAGGATAATAAATACAGATTACCAGAGCTCTTTGCCTCTCATGTTTCCAATGATGACTATCCCAATACTGGCCACAACCCCAATCTGCTAGCAATATTTAATCCACAGTTTATTTATTTGACCCATTCACATATTATTTGATATTGTCTTTTGAAAAGTCCAATTCAACTATTTTCACATAATACCTGGAAATTATTAGAGTAGTCTCATGTAGATATACTGCACTTATTGCCCAGTAATTGAACTTTGTAATTTTAATTTCATGATGTAGATGATATCATGAATGTGTTTGCACATCCTGAGCTGTGAGGCTGTGCTAGTGGATTAACAATGCTGTAGACGTTATTAAACCTTGAAAGAAATGGCTGTACATAGAATTTTAAGGGATGGGAGAGGAAGCAGTCATTACTCCTGTGCCTTTAAGGTGTGAGAAAACCTATGAAACACCTCAATCAGAATATCTGATTGTCCAGCAGGAATTCACACTTTGTATTTCTGAAAGTCACGCATGATACAGTTGTACCAACCTGTACAGTATCATTCTCCATGGCAGCAACATTTCAGCAATATCATATTTCAAACATGCAATGAAATAAGCAGGAGAAACATTTGTTAGGAAATCTGAAAGACTCTTCTTTTCCCTTTTAGGTGCTTTTTCATTCTGGATGAATCAGCTCCACCATTTGATTTAGATGTGCCCCTATATTACCAGCAGCTAAACAAAGATCTGGTGATAAATGTGTACAGCAATGGACAGTGGGGATCATACCGGCACCTCCCACTTGACAGCTTCAGCACTGTGAGTGTACCACATGCCTTTGTGAATGTCACTACTCGAGGAGATCTATCCAGCTTGAAATGGATAGAGGGAAGTTTACGGCCAGACAGGTATGTAAGCAGCATGTCAGTGCATATTATCATGTGTATGGGTGACTAAAGATGGGGTTAAAATTGATAATTGGATTTATTAGCAACCTACAGTTCATTAACTACAATTATTACACTGTTGCTGTTTTACACAAGTTACTATCGCTCCACACTAATCTCTTCAGTCTATCTGCACAAGTCCTCATATATATTTATAACACACAAACCATATATCCATATATAAATCTTACTAAATCACGCACTCCCAACATCACTGTGCTTAAGCACACGTGAAGTCTTCAAAGCACATGTGAAATCTTTACAGGCTGACTTCTTGTACTCTTCTGTACCCCTGGTTCCAATTCACTCTGAACTTACGGCATGTGGCGCTCATTACATAGCCGCGGAGCAGACCTGGACCTACAGTAAACACATATCACATGATGGCTATCCAGCCAGTCAGTTGACGCGTCGGTCGAATCTACAGAAAACACAGCTTCCTCTATTGTTGCTTGTTGGACCGTGTTTACAGAGCTGTTGCCTGGAAACACATTGATCAAGTCCATTACAATATGTTCAGATCATTTTCTATAAACACCATTCAAGGATGTGAAATTGGACAGGGAACATAGGTTACTATCAATTATGCATGTGTGAATTATCAGTAAGAATCCTTCATTGGTGTTCATTTTATGTTCACATTACTAAATATTTATGAAACTGCATATTTTCTATTTACTCAGATGCTTGTGAATGTAGCTGTGTTCCCTTTTCACTTTTGTTTCACATTTTATGATCTGTTTTTATATGCAGTGAGGAAGAGCAGAAATTAAGCTATAACCTTTGCCCCCTTTTGTCTCTTCTTTCATGATGCTAATCTCTGCTACTAGTTCCATGAAGCAGAATCCTTTTTGAGAAGCTTGTAGTCACAGCGTTCTCCGCTCTCCTGCTGCTTCCTCTGTTCTCTTAGTACAAAATACAAGTAGGTTCATCAGCATCCTGTTCTCCTTGTAATATGAGAGACAACGTTTCATGCCCCTCATCTGTGCTTCCATATTTATAACCACTGCAATTGTGATCATGAAATTATTGTAAATAATTCATGTAGTACTGAACATATGAATTGAATATAAGATAATTTTGGATTATCTACATCTCTGATAATCCTCCTTTTCTCCAGCGCCTTTGATTTTAGACATACTTTATCACTAAGAGCATTTTGAGTTTAATAGTGTGTGTGGTTCCAGGAACATGATGACCCATTCGTTAAGGCCTTCGGTTTAAATCTATTGATTGTGAAGTGGCTAATGGATTCAATGTAGTCTTTATAATGTGTCTTGCTACAGTTTGCCCACTCCAAGAGATATTCCATGAAAACTATAATTTTCTCAGAATATTGAACTTTACAGGGCATAAGCTTCAAGTTAAATACAAGTATTATGAAAAAGTTAAATAGTTCCATCCAGTGTGACTAGTTAAGATTTTTTCTTATGTCAATTACTCATGCCCTTACATGTTTCGGTCATCAGAGACCATCTTCAGAGGGACCATATTGATGTAAAGGTGTCCCTCTGAAGATTGTCTCTGATGACCGAAATATGTAAGGGCATGAGTAATTGAAATAAGAAAAAATCTTAAGGTGTCCCTCTGAAGATGGTCTCTGATGACTGAAACATGTAAGGGCATGAGTAATTGAAATAAGAAGAAATCTTAACTAGTCACACTGGATGGAACTCTTTAACTTTTTCATAATATTATTAGTGTGACGGACCAGAATGAAACAAATTAAATACAAGTATGTTGAAACTTATTTTATAGTAATGGAAGTTGTAGGAACATGAAAACGCAATTTAATGCCAGGTGATTTTATTTTTGATTAATGGAGCCAGTAGAATATAATTAAGAGAAGAGGAGGAAGGATATGATTAGTGCAAATAAGGAGACTCTTAAATGTGGACACAAAATTACCGAATGTTTTCTATAAATTGAACCTAACCACAATTATTCAGATCATAATCCTGTCATTTCTCCAGTTCTCTTGATAAACTTCAGTGAATTTTGTGGTTGATTTGCTTAAGATGACATTTCTGTGCTTGCATATCCTTTACAATCAGATACTGAACAATGAACAAATCAAAGAACCGGTATTGTCATGTTAGGATTAAAGATGATTGTACATGGGAACTGGTATAGCTCACTCAGTATAGCAGCTATGCAGTGGGCTGGGTGAACAATTAATCAGGGTTTGATTCCCAGCAGGTCACGAGTTTTGTGCCTTCTCCATAAAATCTGGACTGGCTCTGTGGCTCACTTATCCTCCTATGCAGTGGGTACCAGAGGCCTGTTTCCTGGGGCTAAAGCAGTAGAAGCATGAGGCTGACCACCCACCTCCATCTAGGGCTGAGGTTAAGAATGATGGAGCTACTCCCTCATATGTCTTTATGGCATGATTCTTATTTAATTAAACCCATGATAGCTTCGCTTTACTTATACTTTCTGAAGTTTAAATCACCACCTAGTCACATTTGTGTAGATCACATGTATGGATGGTAAAATATCTGTGATTGGCATGAAGTTGAAAACTTGATTGTTTATGCAACAGCTTGGAATGGATGAAACTTTATCTTTGTCTTCCTCTTCCATCATCCCCTTCCTTGTCCTCCATCACCATCATTTTGTCTTCATTATCATCTCTTTCTCTTCATTACCTCATCATCTTCTTTCTCCTTCTTACATCCCCTCTTCCTCATCAGCATCATGTCTTTCTTTCAAGGATTATGAAATCTGATCTGATCTGCACAGAAAACCTTTTAAAAATTTCCATTGCATGGCCATAGATTAAATTTATGTAGCAGAAATAATGTGAAAGATTCAGTTGTAGTGTTATCAACACTGATGTTGTAACACAATGTTTTGATCTGAAAAAGAAACCTGGTTGTTTTCATAACAGTGTTTGTGAATATGGTAAAATACTTTGCCACAAACGTAAATCATAGTTTCCATCATATCATCAGCAGCAGCATCAGCATTGTTGTCATCATATCATCGCTGTATCATCATAAGTCATCATCAGATCACTGAAAGTAAATGGAATCATGCGTATGGGAATTTCTGTCTGAGAAATAAATTCCTTCAGCAAGCAAACAAATGCCAGAAAGGACAAAAGGGAAAAAATCTTCCATGATTTTTATAATAGTGCCTTTTCTTTAGTTGTATTATAAGTAAAGGAATGTAAGCCTGAAGCACATTTATGTTGTGTTGCAGTGACCCATCAAGGCTCGTGCACGTTTATTACTCTGCCCTCAACTTCCGAGATGTGATGACAGCAACCGGCAAACTGGGATATGAAGTCTTTACCAAGAGTCGACTGAACCAGGTGAGAAGGTGCTTTTCCGTAAATTTGAATGAAGATCACCTGTACATAATTGGAAGGAAAGGTTCTTTTATCCTCTCCCACAGCGTAATAATTTTCTGTCTGAATTCCAACCAGAACCAAACTGTTGTGATCAGAGGTCTTGCCATTGGTTCATTCAACCTGCTCAACCAAATGCCAAATTACATGAAAACCACTCCTACTACGTCTCTCCTGACTTTATCATTCACAATCATCCTGCACCAAATTATAACTGCAGCAGTTGATCCAGTGCCATAAAATAAACAATTAATTTCAATTTCAATTTCTTATTTTGCTGAACCTTATAATAGTAGATGAGAGCATGAACCTAACTGACTATCTGTCATAGTTTAAACACTTTGGTACCAGGCAAGTTGGCTGACAACTACTAACTGCTGTAGTGATATATTCAAATTCGTGCAGCACTAACAGAAATGTATGAATCATTAAGGGGATTCCGTGGAATAGTGACAGGATATCTATAGTAGCTCAAGATGGTGTCTGTTTTGTACATCTACCTTTGTTTTAAAATAGAATAAATGTGCTCATGACTAAGTAAATAATGTTTTTTTTTGGTGGCAGCATTGTCTTCAGGGCCTTGAATTCTCTGGGCGTAACACGAAGGGGCAACGTGTCTTTGGCATGGGTAATTATGGGTCTATGAGCACAATGGTGATGGCGGACAATGATCTTCTCTGGACTGTACCCGAACACTGGACACTAGAGGATGCAGCCACTGTACCAGTTGTGTATGGAACGGTGAGTTAACACAGGCTCTTCAAAACATGAGGGAAGTATACACTCCAGATGTCAGGTTCTAAATGATATCTTGACATATTCAGAAGCACAACCAGAATGCTAAGTGCTGTAGGAGTCTGCATAATTATATGATAAATGCAGTTAAATACCTCTTTGAAGTTTCTTTTGGAAGCAGTGATTTTGAACACTAAAATGGGGAAAATCTTAAATGCAGGTAATTTAATATTGAGATTATTAACTTGGGATCATTGAAGAAAAACCTTAAAGTGAGGTACATGAAATGTGGGGTTCACTGTATTTTTATTAACTTTTTGTTGTGTCAACAGGGTCAGTTTCTTTTGTCTGAATTTTTAAATTGCCAGACGTAGTCCATTACTGGATTAGNCTGATATGAAGGTTATTTTAAAAATGTCAAAACATGTTGTGTTTGTGTGCAAGATTCAACCAACCTGAAGGAGATTCTATTTTGTCACAAATAGGTTTACTATGGTTTGGTATTGAATGGGCATATGAAGAAAGGGGAGTCAGTGCTGATACATGCAGGCAGTGGGGGAGTAGGTCAGGCAGCAATCAACATCTGTCTGCATGCAGGTTGCACAGTGTTCACCACTGTTGGAACGGAAGAAAAACGGGAATTCATCAAGAAACAGTTCCCACAGGTAGCGAGAACCATTAAATTGCAATGTAAATGTATTGAATAACTTCATAAGTCATTAAACTTCAAATGAAAACTTCTGTGGTGACAGAAACAATGCTTCATACTCATGTAAACTTTGTTTTTGTGTAATGATGTCAGTATCTCTCCTTTACATTCACTGCTGAGCTCTTAAATGACAGTTTTAATCTCATAAAAGTAGCCATAATTAAATGGAATAACACGTGCATTTTTAATTGGCAAAACAAACAGTTCTAGTGAACATATATTGAAAAGCATGCACCTTTTGATTCCTCAGAGCTGAACAAAAATGTTGGTTATGATGCAGGCAGTGTATCAATGGTCTGTTTTCTCTTAGCTGACAGACCACAATATTGGAAACTCCCGAGACACCTCTTTTGAGCAGCTTATTATGCTAGAGACAAATGGAAGAGGGGTTGATCTTGTTCTTAACTCCCTGTCTGATGAAAAGCTGCAGGCTTCTCTACGCTGCCTTGCCATTGGAGGACGATTTCTAGAGATTGGAAAAGCTGATCTTGTCAACAACAAACAACTTGGTAAGATATGCCTTGTTAATCTGCTATTCTTGGAACTGGGGTTTTGAGTCAGTGTGTGTGAAGTAGAAATGAAATCACCAAAATATGCAGTATTCAGCTTTGTGAATGGCTTGAGACTTTTAGCATTGGCAATACATGATGTACAGGTGTTGGACAATATAATGGAAACACTACAGATACTGTACACATTTTTTTAAATATATTGTTTAACCACCTTTTGGCTTCAGTAGAGCCACAGCCCTTCCTGGAATGAACTCATACAAATTTTGAACAGTCTCTAGTGGAATTTTATGCCATTCTTCTTGAAGAACATCCTCAAGTTGCCTTAGAGGTGCTGGAGGTGGGAATCTGTTCCTCACCCTAGTCTCCAAAACTGACCAGAGTTGTTCACTGATGTTAAAATCTGGCGATTATGCTGGCCAGGGAGGACGTTGAAGTTCACCTTCATGTTCTTCAAACCATGACTAAACAGTTCCAGCTGTATGAGGGGGGGCATTATTGTCTTGGAAGACAGCATCATTGATCAGAAATAATGACTGCATCATGGGATGCACCTCTTTACCCAACCTGTCCATTCGGCCATGAAGGGTAATAATGGGACAACAGAATATTACGATATTGGTGCCCAAATCAGTACAGAACCTCCCTGTGTTCCACTGTTGGAACCAGGCAGTCCCAATTGTAGGCTTCCTTTGGTGTTCTCCAAACGTAAACTCTTCTGATGTAGGTAATAGCATGAAGGACGATTCATCTGACCATATCACATGCGCTTTTCCAGTTGTCTGATATCAGGTTTTATGGTCATGGCACAATTGTTTACACATATTTTCAGTAGTCAGTGGTTTAACAATTGCAGCCCAACTGTGGATGTTGGATTTGTGAAGCTCACATCAGACAGTTTTTGTAGAAACATGATCTTCAAGATGAATATTCAGTTCTGTTGTCACCTGTGCTGCAGTAGTTTTGTGAATTTTCAAAACAAACCTCAATGTATGACAATCTCTTTTTGTCAATGTTGATTTTCGCCCACAGTTCCCCTTGACTGACATTGTCTCATGATTTGTGTATGTCGACATAACCTTCAAAACTGTCACTCTTGATACGCCTAATAATGTGGCAGTTTTTGCCACAGATGCTCCAGCTAAATGCACACCAACGATCTGTCCTCTATCAAAGGCGTGGAAGTGTTCCGTTTTCCGATTCTTTCACATGGACTGTCATTCAACACAATCACTAATGCACTGACATGAGCACTACACAGTGTAAACAAATGGAAAAAGAACATTCACTGTTGTCAACTTAAGTTCTTACATTGTAGCCAACACAAATTCTATTCCTCAATTTTATAGTATTTCCATTATTTTGTCCAGCCCCTATATATTTAGGTGGTGCTTAATTTGAACGCTAGCCAGGGTCAGTTACAAAGTTAATAGAAAGTCCGTCGAGTGTAACAATTTGTAGGTCACTTTTTATTATTATTATTTCTGCCTTACATGTCTGCTGACGTCTCCCATCTTCGGGATGAATTAACAAGGAGGAGTTCAGCATTTTATATCAAATATTTTAACATTTTAGCGTTTTAACTTAAAAATAGGTTCGGATGAAAAGTGAGAACTTGAGAGTGTACTCAACTATCTTAGCATGTTTTGTGCTTTTACACGTAACATATCGTAGCAACGTCCACACGACAAACATAATTGTGAACATCAAAAACAGCGACAGTGTTTCCATAATTATAGCAAGTGCCTCTGATGATGGTTGTGTCAAACCGAAACATGTAAGGCAGAAATAATAATAAAAAGTGACCTACAAATTGTTACACTCGACGGACGTTCTATTAACTTTGTGATTGAGAGTGTAACGGACCAAAATGAAACAATTCAAAAAAAGGGTCAGTTATTCTGACTTGGTTTCTGATGATTTTCACCAGTCCCTTGAGGTGAATGCAGAGGTGCCATGCCTGTTTCCTCTTCCACCTTTTCCATTTCACTGCACAGCTATGATTCTCTACCCTATATGAAACACCCGGTATCAGTCTTGCATTACACAGTGAAATTTATATTACAACATAAATTGTATGCAAATCCATTTATTACTAGTAGATCTAAACATGTTCATTTCAATTTTATAATGTTGCATGCTGTCTGTGCATAAGTTATAAAGAATCATTGTATAGTGTCACACAAAACTTTAGTTCAAGTGTAACACCAGCTGAGAATTCAGTGGGCAGTCTCATTGTTTAGTATACAAGCTTTCACACTATCCTACGAATGACACATGAAAATAATCAGTCATGAACCATATCCTCTATGTAGCGTACTATACTTGACATACTCACATCAAAATATTACCAGTACTCACAAAGAGATACAATACAATGAAGCATACATGACTATTACATAACTTACATTCATGCGATGTGTTAACGCTTGACAGTTTGTTGCTATGGTAACCCAGAATTATGCAGTCACTGATAAATCTCACACTTACAAAAGATATATTTATTTTTATGAGTATGTTTTTTTTTTTAAATAAAGTTTGTGTGACTGTTAAAACGTTTTACATTTTAAAAATTAATTACTCTTTTCACCATTAAAATGAAAGAGATATCATAATCACCAAAATTAACAATTCACAATTAAAAATTATGCACAAGAGTATGTGTCAGTTTATAACAGAAAGAAAGGTAATTGAAGTGAACTTATGTAATGAGTTGCTTATGCAGAAAAATAGTACTCAACACAGACTATTCAGTCATGAAAAGGAAACGAAAGCACAACAATTTCTACTTGTTATATTTTCCAGATATGATGAAATCTATTAGAATTTGTACCCCAATAATTGTGGAAAATATAAAAATTTTTGCATAACAGTACTGTTGCAAAGTTAATCCTATTTGCTATGATTCTGACTGATCTGGTAACTTCAAGGATTAATTTGAATTAACCTGGTGATTTTAACTGTATCTGGCATATTTGTCTCTATTTATGGTTTTGCACTGATTTCACTATGGTTCATATCAACATCTCATATTTCAAACTGACATGAACAAAATACGTAGTATACTCTTCTATTCTATGGAGCTGTTCCATCCACAACAATAAAAAAGATATAATGAAACTTCTATGTAACAAAATCTAAAAATTGGTTGCTGTTGATGTGTAATAATTTGTTTTATACAGTGATCTATAATAATTAACTGAATATTTTATCATCATCATCGTTTTAAATTTGAATTTGAATTTGAATTTATGTACATTCCATAAATCCAAGTACAGGTTGACACTATAGGCTATGGCACAAGTCAAGTACAAATACATGCTATCTTTACAGTAAAAGCTGATCTATAGGTCCGCATGATATCATAATGCACAGGTTCTGCTGTACGCATATGAGGTGAAAGCATTTGTTTCAAACTTTAATTTCCTTTACACAATAATGTAACATTTCTGTTTCCTTCTTCCCTGGACCCTCATTCCTACTGCAGACGAAATAGACAACATCCACAGATATTGAGGAATTTATTGTATACTATTGCCAATATGTACAGTAGTCATGAATTTGAAGTTCTGCAGTAGAGTTTTTGGATATGGTTTGAATCCTTGTTCTCAATATTCTTTAGTAGTACATGAGTATACTTTCATTTCTCAATCTGAGTGTTCTTGCATCTTTAAAGTTTTAGATACTACATGCTCTTATGTTAACAAGGAAAGCAGCCATATCCCAGGCAAAAGAACAATTGATTCTAATTATAGGAATGAGTTCCTGTATTCCATATTATTATTATTATTATTATTATTATTATTATTATTATTGGAGAGGGTGGGTTTCCCCATGAACTGTGACCAGTGGTCTATTGTACGTCCCCCTGTGATATTCTACCAGTCTCTATACCCTACCGATACTGGTGCGTGCCATCAGTCCCGACTCAGCCAGCGAGTTCGGCCTCTACTGGCTCAGCGGTATCTAGATGCTTCCCCCATCTACCAGAGGCGTTAGAGACTATTGTTTGGTGGGAAAAGTCCTTGTAATTTGGCTCACAGACCTCCTTCTTTTACGTGCCGTAAAGCTATGACACGGGACCCACGGCTTAAAGTTCCTCCCAGAGGACTTGTTCCCTGAATTTTTCTGCCCTTAAAAATTCCACGACCTCCGCCGGGTTTGAACCCGTGTACCTACGGAGGCCGCTCCTGCATTCCATATACCCATGACTATGTTATACAAGTTTAATGCCATTGACTTCTCTGCATCTCAACACATAGGTATGGAGATATTCCTGAAGGAGACAAGTTTCCACGGTGTCATGCTGGACTTTTTGTTCTCTGCATCTTCTGAAAAGAAGAAAGTTCTGTGCGATCTCATTGTTGAAGGCATTAAGTCAGGGGCTGTGAAACCACTGGTCAGGAATGTGTTCGCTGAAGATGAAGTAGAACAGGCATTCAGGTATAATGAGTACTCTCATGAAGTAGAACAGGCATTCAGGTATAATGAGTACTCTCACATTCTGGTACAGTTGCCTATTTATGACAGAGATGCAGGAAAACAACTTTTCTCTCCTGAAGTTCATACACTGGAATTTTTCCTTTAAAACTGACTACATTCAGAGAGAATTAACTAACAAAATAATTGAATATCTAACTAATTCAATAAATATCTAACTTCTTTATGGAATGCATTCTGTTGCATGATCAAACTGATCAATTACCATGTTCCATCTAACGCAACACAGAGAATGTATAACATTCAATTTGTTTTATTAAAATCACAACATGTTTTGACCATTTTATATGGTCATCCTCAGGTCAGTGCAAATGCTTTTTTTTTCTTTCCCCCCTCCAATTCGCATAGTGGGGGGTGGAGTCCAGTTGGATCCACTTGGCACTGCGGCCACTGATTGGACTATTGTACCTGCCCTGGGTGATTATGATGATGGAGGATTGTTTTGCTGGAATGAAGACTGGCAGGGGAAACCTAAGTACTCAGAGAATACCTACCCCAGCTCCACTTTGTCCACCATAAATCCCACTTGACCAGACCCAGGTTTGAACCCGGGCTGCCGCAGTGGGAAGCCAGCGACTAACCGCTTGAGCTATGGCACATCCTTTGTGCAAATGCTTAACAAGTGCCCTTTTGAATTGCAAGACACTTTACCTCTCATATGGGCCCATATTTACAATGATTTCTGTTTGATGACAGTATTAGCATAGGTAAAATCTACGTATTAAATGAAGTTGGTGTGTGGATTAAGTAAAATTGAACAACCCTGGAATGAACTAGGGTAAACAAGTCTGGAGCTACAAGGGTATGATCCCTTATTCTGCTTGTTGCTGGGTGTTTGGAAGCGAAGGTGATAAGGTGTGGTACTTAAGAATCTGGAACCCCCTCCCATCTAGCCTCCTCTTGCCCTTCAAGTTTGAAGCTACCAATGTAAACATGGAGACCAGACACACAGTGTAAGCTACACAGTTCAAGGGTAAAGACCATAGCCTAGTTAGGCTAGCAAACATCCTTCAGTCCATAAGTACAAGAGTAATCTTTTCATTAAGCATATAACAATAGCTAATACATCAAAATTAGCAACTTATGTTGCAAATTGCATTGTTCCAGATTCTTAAGCGTCACACCTTATCACCTTTGCTACCCAACCCCCAGCAACAAGTAGAATAAGGGATGATGCCCTTGTAGCTCCAGACTCGTTTACCTTAGTTCATTCCAGGGTTGTTCAATTTTACTTAAACCATACACCAACTTAATTTTGTATGTAAATTTTTATCAAACCAAAATCATTGTCAATATGAGCCCATATGAGAGGTAAAGCATTTTGTAATTTCATAGAGCACTTGTTAAGCATTTGTATTCACCTGATGATGACCAGAAAACATAGTCAAAACATGTTGCAATTTTAATAAAACAAATTGAATGTTATACATTCTGTGTGTTGCGTTAGACAGATCGTGGTAATTGATTAGTTTGATCACGCAACAGGATGCATTCCATAAAGGATTTTAATTCTGTGTTTATTTAACAACATTTCACCATAAACTAGTAGCTGTAATACTGTCTACGTGTTTTGAGAATACAAGAAAACATATACACTTCACAGGATAAGAAAATGAGAATTGCATAATTGTATTGCAGATACATGGCAGCAGGGAAGCATATAGGCAAGGTGTTACTGAAAATTCGACAAGAAGAGGACAAGAAGCTGGTTGTGCCTTCACCACGGTTTATTCAGGCATCCCCACAATACTACTGCAGCCCAGCATACACTTATATCATTGCTGGTAATATCTTCCATTGTTAAATAGTAAAATTATGTTCAGGATTGCAGATAATTTACAATGAATGACTTTCACTGTAATTTTTCCCATACTTTAATATCTTAGGTTAGCATCTGTCTACTAAAGCCCATCCTACATTAATATCAACTTTAGTTTCATATGGTGCACCCCCTTATTACAAGAGAGGCACATTCATATTCTTTCTTCCTTACCATATTTTTTTTTTATTTCTCTGCGAATTTACAATCTACTCACTACAGTAAGGAGCAATAAGTAAATTGGTTAAAAGTAGGAACGTGAGTAGAGAATCAACCAGCGTCGATGCTCTTAAACACAATTGATGCTAGAATTTATTGCTTAACCTAATCTTTTCGGAAGGTTGGATGGCCACTGTCTCTTCAGTATCCGTGCAACATTGGGAGGGTTTCTTATTTCTTCAATTAATCTGTTGTCATGTCCTTGTAGCCATTGTTTGTAGAGTAGAGCTAATATTCCTTAGCATATACTTTAAATTTTTTAATAGCTGGAAAAGAAGATACAATAACTTGTAATTGAAAGGGAAACATATACTGCAAATTACAGGTGGATTGGGTGGCTTTGGTTTGGAGCTGGCTGACTGGCTTGTGTTGCGAGGAGCTCGCAAACTGGTGCTGACATCTCGCTATGGTCTGAAGACTGGGTACCAAAGTTTACGTGTGAGAATATGGCGCAGCTATGGTGTGACAGTAGTTATCTCTGTGGCTGACATCACTACTAGAAATGGTGTTGTAGTTCTGCTGTCAGATGCAAACAAACTGGGTCCTGTAGATGCTATATTCAACCTGGCTGTGGTAAATATAGATCCAGAGGGATCATCACTTCTGATACTGAAGCCCACAACTGGGGACAGTTCTGAGCCAATTTAGTCTATTCTGTGTCCTCACAACCAATTTATCTCAGATCAATTATAATATTAGTCATTCCTCTCTTCCTCTGGCTTTGAAGTCATTGTTTTTAGAGAGTGTTCACCACAAAAATTCTCAATACATTTCCCTGCAGGCTGCATGTTCAGCCTATCATTGCCTTATTGATTGACTGTCATTAAAATAGTAAGTCAGCAGTATGAATCACAAAAATTTCTCAGTGTGCAATAATATTTTCTTCTCCATATTTACTTTCAGCTTACTTAGCTCCAGGTGTTTTTGATCTCAGTTGACATGATTGAAAGTAAATGCGACACAGTTCCATATTTCATGTGGCTCACAAAAGGTATCCCTGTAATAGGCCATGGAGGCCCATAGAGTTGTGAAATGTTGAGGTTCCCACATTTTCTAGACAGTCAGCTCATAGACGGCAATAAGGTTGTCAGCCTTACACACCAGCCGTCATTTACCCCCAAGAATATTCCTGGTACTCATACCTGTTAGAGGCTGAGTCAACCCCAGGGCCATATTGTGACTGGAAGGATTAGGTCAATTGAAAAAATCCGCCTCATCAGGATTCCATCCGAGTACCTTCCACCTTGTAGCATAGTGCCCCAACCAACTATGCTACCGTGTGCCCCCAAGTTCAGTAACATATTACTCACAAAGTTACTTGATAAGAACTGCATACAAAATTAAATTAATTAAGTTTAGGTTGATATAAAATAAAGCATTAAGCCATATTAGAAAACAGAGATAACATTAGACACTGATTGCTGCATCAATTCCAGGTACTACGAGACGCTCTTCTGGCAAACCAAAGTGAGGCTGATTTTGCTGCTTCTGCAGGGCCAAAGGCACATGCAACTTGGTACTTGGATGAGCTGTCTCGCCAGATGTGCCCACAGCTGCGTCACTTTGTAGTGTTCTCCAGTGTATCATGTGGGCGTGGCAATGCAGGACAAACGAACTATGGCATGAGCAATTCTATCATGGAGCGTATCTGTGAGGCCAGAGTCAGAGATGGGTTGCCAGGTCTTGCTATTCAGTGGGGAGCCGTTGGAGATGTGGGGCTCGTGGCAGATATGCAAGAGGATGACGTAGAAGTAGTGATAGGTAAGATACTTTGATCTGTGTAATGATAATGATGTTGCTGATCACGGTGTAAGTAGTTAATCCTTTCTCTCTTAATGAATAAATATACATTGGTTGGCTGTATGGTAGCTGTTATTTCTTCGGTTCCTTAATATTGGACCAAGGAGCTATGATAGCATAGTCAGTGTGGCGATGGGCTACGGACTGGAAAACCGAGGGTTCAGGGTTCAGTTCCCAGTAGGGTTGAGATTTTTCTCTTTTCCTTGTTTTCTAGACAGATTCTGGGTCTCACCAAGCCTATTGTCTAGTGGGGACAGGGCGTTATTTCTCTGGGCATAAAGCGGCCGGTGCTTGAAGCTGACCATTCACTTCTAGCTAGTGCCAATGTTAAGAATATGTCGATCTATACAGCCACTCCTCCATAGACCTTCCTGGCATAGTGCTCAATTAGTTAACCACAGAGAAAACTTTTCCTTTTTTTTTAATATCGGACATCTGTCCAATATTATCATTTCATATGTTCTGTCATATTGTTCCTTTAGAATTCAATTTGTATCTGAGATATTACTTTCTCTCTAAAATATATATAAAATAGCATTCTGTGTTCTTTTTTTCATGCAACACTTCCTACTTATGCTCATCACTGCATACAAGAACCTAATATATTATAGAGCGCGGACCTGGATAGGATACAGAGTTGAATGAGTGGAAAAAACGAATGTGATTGCGTGTGAATACAACTGTGTTCGTACACCTGAGGATGACCTCATGAGGTCGAAACATGTAGTGTGATAATAATAATAAAAACGTGTTGTGTAGACGGTAAAATTAACTCTAATATTGAAGTCACAGAAGGCCGCGCCATAGCTCAAGCGGTTAGTCGCTGGCTTCCCACCACAGCAGCCCGGGTTCTATCTCGGGTCTGGTCAAGTGGGATTTGTGGTGGACAAAGTGGCATTGGAGCAGGTTATCTCTGAGTACTTTGGTTTCCCCTGCCAATCTTCATTTCACCAATTGCTCCACAATCACCCTTACCTATCATCTGGGGCTGGTACAATAGGCCAGAAGTGACTGCAGTGCAAGGGACTTAGTCCCACCCCACTAGCAATAAAGAACTTATATCATGAAGAAAGCAGTCTTCTTGGATTTGGCACCGTGTATATGTGGTGTTAACCGACGTTTCGGAGGAACGTATCGCCTCCATCTTCAGGGTAGAAGAAAAAAAAATATATATATAAGAATCTGCAAGCAAAGAGACCATGAGAACCGGTAAAAGCAGACTGTGGAAAAATACACAGCTATGTGAGAGCAGTGAGGGAGAAGGGGGAAGGGCAAGTATACAAGTGAAAGCAGTAGTGTGGGAGGGGTTGGGGAAGGGAGCTAGGACAAGCGTGGTTTTTGTGTAGGGGAGAGAAAAGGCGAGGTTGAAGGCTGGGCACCACCCGTGAGGTGAGGGGTGGGGGTTCATGGCCTGTGTGGCCTTCTGGATCTGGCGTCATATCCCGGTGGGGGTTTTTTAAGAGAACAGATGAGAGGTTTCCAAGACTTGCTCAGACAAAACACCCCCTCTCTGTTCATATTTCCTGGATGCAGTTCAATCTCAATTGCCTCCCTAATGATGCGATCCATATAGCGGGTCTTGGTGGCGAGGATGGAGGTATTCTGAAGCTGAATGCGGTGTCCCAGATCGATGCTGTGTTCAGCTACGGCCGACTTGTCCGGTTGTTCGAGACGGATGTGCCGCTGATGCTCCTTCAACCTCATGTCCACGGAGCGGCCTGTCTGCCCAATATAGACCTTCCCGCACTCGCATGGGATACTGTATACACCCGGTGTCCTTAGGCCCAGGCTGTCTTTAACCGGCCGGAGGAAACTGGATAATTTGTATGGAGGCAGACCCACTGCTTTGATGTTGTGTTGGGACAGCACTCTGCTGATACGGTTGAATATTGTCCCGACATAGGGAAGGAAGGCGACTGAGCCCGGTTTGTGCACTGATGCACTGGTGCACCAGTTCACAATGGAAACTGAAACTGAAGGCCACCTCCCCTTCCTGGATATAGATATTTACAGGAGACCCGACGGTTCCCTGGGCCATAGAGTGTACCGCAAATCCACCCATACTAACCTGTACCTTAACGCTGCGTCCCACCACCACCCTTCCAACAAGCAAGCTGCACTTTCAACATTGGTGCACAGGGCTAGAGCACTGTGAGCTCAAGACAGCCTACATGCGGAGTTGGTGCTCCTGAAGGATGTATTCAAGAAGAACGGATACAACAACCGGCAGATCTACAGAGTTCTCAACCGTCGGCCCAACATCAGCCGGCCTGAAGACAAACCGGGCTCAGTCGCCTTCCTTCCCTATGTCGGGACCATATTCAACCGTATCAGCAGAGTGCTGTCCCGACACAACATCAAAGCAGTGGGTCTGCCTCCATACAAATTATCCAGTTTCCTCCGGCCAGTTAAAGACAGCCTGGGCCTATGGACACCGGGTGTATACAGTATCCCATGCGAGTGCGGGAAGGTCTATATTGGGCATACAGGCCGCTCCGTGGACATGAGGTTGAAGGAGCATCAGCGGCACATCCGTCTCGAACAACCGGACAAGTCGGCCATAGCTGAACACAGCATCGATCTGGGACACTGAATTCAGCTTCAGAATACCTCCATCCTCTCCACCAAGACCCGCTATATGGATCGCATTATTAGGGAGGCAATTGAGATTGAACTGCACCCAGGAAATATGAACAGAGAGGGGGTGTTTTGTCTGAGCAAGTCTTGGAAACCTCTCATCTGTTCTCTTAAAAAACCCCCACCGGGATATGACGCCAGATCCAGAAGGCCACACAGGCCATGAACCCCCACCCCTCACCTCACGGGTGGTGCCCAGCCTTCAACCTCGCCTTTTCTCTCCCCTACACAAAAACGACGCTTGTCCTAGCTCCCTTCCCCCACCCCTCCCACACTACTGCTTTCACTTGTATACTTGCCCTTCCCCCTTCTCCCTCACTGCTCTCACATAGTTGTGTATTTTTCCACAGTCTGCTTTTACTGGTTCTCACGGTCTCTTTGCTTGCAGATTCTTATATATATATTTTTTCTTCTACCCTGAAGATGGAGGCGATACGTTCCTCCGAAACGTCGGTTAACACCACATATACACGGTGCCAAATCCCAGAAGACTGCTTTCTTCATAGTCACCGCCGTGAAAGCCTCAAATCTTACAACTTATATCATAACCACATTTATTATTGCTTCTTTAACGTGGCTTTATTATGCTACTTTTCAGAAAATGGAAAGGATTTTTTATTTTACTCATAATCAAAACAAAAATCCAGGTCACTGGAACCAAGGCTTTTCATATGCACCATGCTTTCACTTTTAAAGGAGGCACACTTCAACAGAAGATATCATCTTGTCTTGAGGAGCTGAACTTTTTCATGAAGCAGCCATATCCTGTTGTGGCAAGCATGGTTGTGGCAGAGAAACACAGAGGAAGTGGTGATTCTGATAACATTGTTGACTGTGTGAGCAATATTATAGGTATGTAAGAATGTAGCAAAATATTTTCAAAGATTCCAAAATCATACAATATTTTAGGAGATTTGAGGTTATCATGACAGCAAATATTATGTCTGTAGTCTCAAAGAATATGATGCTGTGTAGTCTGGAGATGAACACTTCAGAAGAACATATTACATGTACATACTTCTTCAGGGTAATCTCAAAATGGTAGGCACTGGGTTCTCCAAAAAACACCAATAACCATCTAGAAGACTGGACAGTGTCACATCCCAAAAGACTGCAGTCACAGAATATTAGATTTAAACTGCACAGATATGGTTCATTTATAATATTCAGAACCTGATAGGAATAAGCAGCTCTTACATGGGGATTTAATTAAAGGGCACACTGTTGCCACACTCTCGATTTTTGACACAAAGCTTCCATTTTAAACTTCTTGATCATGAGGTGTGTATTGATGGGGAAAATAATACTCTTGGAGCACATCTATTCACCATGTTACAGTCCTGCAAGGGTTTGAAGTTTTCTTGGATCTCGTGTTCTGTAATATATCTGTTGAACTCTGTCCAAGATTTAGGTTTCAGTTCAATATCAGTACAATATTCACAAATTTAAAGCTAAAAACAAATCAGATGGACCTTGTTGGATGTATTGTATTAAATAAAATATCTCAACCTCAAAACCTATTTTTACAACTGTTCTACTAAAATTATAATGGACTCAAATTAAATCATTGGTCCCATTCTTAAGCAAACTGCCTTCTCTTGGAAAGGTATTTAAAATGTCAAAGGGAAATGACTACGTACTTGGAAATGTGACACAGTCTGACTCATGAGGTAGGACTGTGGCCATCAAACAGGCTTATTTGTAGTACACAAGAAGTTAATCACAATCTCCTTCAGTAAGACTGTGTAAGAGAGCTTGAACTATGCAGGTATTCGTGATCTGAAGACTGTGAGTCAGCATTCCACGTTGGCAGAACTGGGAATGGATTCCATGATGGCTGTTGAGATCAAACAGTCCCTTGAACGAGAGTTTGAGGTGTTCCTCACAGCACAGGAGATTCGCAGCCTGACATTTGCACGCCTGGAGGAACTGTCTGCTGCAAGGCAAGGGAATGAGACCACCTCAGAAGAACAGACAACAGAAGGTACTCCAATAAAGAATTGTATCTAATAACACAACAGGATGTACGAAATGAGAAATATTTCATTAATCGTTAGTAGGCATGTTTATAATTTATCTTCATGCCAAATTTTGTATTCATAACTCCAGTAATTTACCATTTTCATGAAACTTGGTCAGTTATTTGAGAAGTTGAAATTGTGGAAAACTAGAAGATCATGGTAACTTAATGAGCCTAATTTTTTTCATTAAGGAAGGAAAACAGACTTAAATTGTATTTAAAAGAGCCAGAAAATAAACCTTATTTGTATTCACAAGATATGAAGAAATGTAACAAATGAGGGACTAATAATTCATTTCTGGAATAATGTAATTGCAGCCACAGCTCGTGTTAGTGGAGTGCCACTCGAAGGACTGGAATTACTTGTCCGAGTAATAGGGGATGAGGTGACAGCAGCACAGCCCGTTCTACGCCTCCCATCAGCAACTGGGGCGGGAGAAGATGTAGAAGATACAACAAAGGCTGGACCAATACTCTTCATGATTCCTGGTGTGGAAGGCATGGGAAGCATACTGGAACCTCTTGCCAAGAACCTCAAGTACCAAGTGCTGTGCCTACAGCTGGGCTACAGCAATGTGGCAGACACTGCCCAGGACATGGCACAAGCTCTGCTCCCGGTACAACATATGCCATAGATTTATCTGTTTGACTGCATCACGAAGGCTGTTCCTTGGCCAGTTGATAGTTATGCATCCAACCAAAGAGGTTCCTGCTACTATGAATCTGAACATTTATCGCCATCAAGACAAAAGTCCATAGAGAATCCTAACCTCAGCCACTTTAGTCCAGTTCATGACTGTGTAGTATGTTTATTTGACTCCACTTAAGAATTTCCTCCTTCCTGCATCTTGGTCTCACAAGCTTCAGCTATGTATATATTTCTTGTTTCGTCCATGTGTATGACTTATCTATCTTCTCATTCTTCTTAATTGCCCAGACAGCTAAATAATACAAATTATTAATACGAAGTCCCTTAGTTTCTGAAGGATTCTGATGATGGTGTGTAACACACAGAATTACTGGGTTTTTGGACTTTTTCCATCATCCGGTATTCTACAAAATAGAAACTACAATGTTTTGGAGACTGGATCTGTTTCCACTCTCAGGTGAGAGGGGGAAGACACCTACTCAGTTAGGTCTCCTAGAAAGAGCTAATCTCAATCTAAGGGGCTCAGCTGGGTACATATCTTCTTCCCCTTCACCTGAGGATGGAAACATATTCAGTCTCCAAAATATTGTAGTTTCTATTTTCTAGACTACTGGATGATGGAAAAAGTCCAAATACCCAGTAATTCTGTATGGAGTACCTTATTTTGTAATATTCTCCATTCCCTGTTACTTAATTTGTTTTAGACCCACATATTCTCCTCAGCACTTAGACAACTGGAAATGTTTAACTGACTAAAATTTCCATGCAGATGTTATTTACTACTAACATGATTTTATAAATGTGTCCAATAAAATACAGTGATTCACCATCGTCATCTTCCTGAGAAATAGGTACAGTTAATCTGTTAAAATCTGTCTTTTTAGAGAATTTTCCAAGCATTTCCTTTATTCTCTGTATTCAGTTTAGGAACATCTTAAATAATCTGATTAACTGTCTTCCCTTCAACTAAGAGACCAACACAAGAAAAATATTTCCTGTACACTACCCTGCAGTGCCTTCAGACCCACAAAGTTTGTACTTGTATAAATGAACATTCTCTGTTTTTTACTTTTCCTGCTATGCACATGCACCTCTGTTGGTCTTTGGATGTCCATCATATGCTCCTGTATTTGCCTGTTAGTACTGTCAGTCTTGAATATATTCTTTCCAGCTTCTCATCTAGACCTCTTTAAATCCTCTTAGTCAAAATTTGTGATTTCATCATAGTTTTATAATTCCATTTATGTTCTGACAGTCCATAACCTGTTGTCTTTTCATGAAACACATTTCAGCTGATGTGAATCAACCTCATTATAGTACATTCTCTTTAAATTGATGAGGCTTGGGCAATGAAGTCACGGTATGATAACACATCAGTGCTGAAAGATATTCTGTTACTGTAAGACTATGCAGATGATCAAAGAGTAGGCATTCTATTACAAGGCTATTGACTGCTCAGACAGAACCAGCTGGTGGAACGTTTCAATTTCCAAGGTGTTATGTAAAATGAGCAGGCTGATCTAGGTAAGACATAGCACACCAAGGGTAGAAAAGTGTGCTGTAATGCAGTGTGTATATTTTTTAAACACATTCTTTGCTATTTTGTATGTGTCATTAACTAATTTCAATTCATCACAGATACCAATCTATTATTACAGTTCTAGTTATAGTGCAAATATTACACTGCACAGAATGACATTATTTTTCCTTATATTCTTGTAAATATTCACCATATTCAAAAATATAACTTAAAGCTACACACTTCAGTAGGCTCTATATTTTATGTTATGTACAACTTTCTGTATTATGAGCCATTTTTGAGAATTGATCAAGTTGAATTTGAGCTACATGTAAAATTTGGATTACCTCAGGCCAGTACAAATCAAAATTTAATTTTCTTAACATTTAATGTAGACTTCCTATACCAAATGTAATTGTGATCTATCCCACAATTTTGGGCACGAAACATGCAAACACTTCACATATCTAAAACCTCACATCATCACTTATAATGCAATTGAGGTTCTGTTCCTGCAGCACATACAGAGCAGACTAGCTCCACATGCCTCATTCAGCCTGCTGGGGTACTCATTTGGTGGCATGGTAGCAATGGAACTTGCAATGGCGCTAGAAGCAGAGGGTCGGGAAGGACACCTCTATCTAGTGGACAGCTCACCCGACTTCCTGCAGTCTGTCCAGGAGCGCTCCATCGGCAACAATGAGGATCAGTTTGAGATAAATCTCATGTGTTTAATGTTCAACCTTTTGGCACCACATGAGGCCACACCAGCTGCTGTCAGTCAGGTATCAGACACCATCAGTTATTCTTTCATACCATTACCCTCTGAAGCCCAACATAGTTTAGAGAGTCATGGTTATCTAAGCAGTAAAAATACAGAAGCAATGTAAAGGTAAAGTTGTTCCTGTGCTTAACTAATTAAGCACTACACAATGAAGGCATATAAGGGAGTCGATGTATATATCCACATTTTCTTGACCTTGGCACTAGTTGGAGGTAAGTGGTCAGCTTCACGCCCCGGCTGCTTTACCCTCGGGGAAAGAGCCCCTAGTACCCATTGAATAGGAGGGTGGACCCCAGAGCTGGTCTGGATGATGAGGAGAAGAGAAAATTGTTGACCTTACCAGGACTTGAATGCTGACCCCTTGGTCATCCATCCCATAGCTAGTCATTATACTGATTACGCTATGCCAGCAATGTATAAATGTTAATTTTTTCATTCTCTAGATTATGTTGCACTTTTGTGGAAAAAAAATTAACATTACAGCATGAGCACTAAAATGGAAACCTGCACATTTGTGCAATATGGTATTCAAACATGTGGCAGTTATGACAGTGTCATACAAATATGCATTCAGGGTCTGAAAAGATGAATAGTAACTCAAATGTAAGCTGTTTCATTCGCTTCAATCAGAATGACAGTAGTGGACAGTTATATTCCACTGAAGTATACACACTATCCAAATGCATTTTCTTTATGGTAATTATGCATATCCAACTGATTTTGATGTACACATATTCCAGATGGAAATGTACTGTGGCAAATGAAATCACATTAAATGTAGTCATAAATTATATTCCTTATTTTATATTCACAATATCATAAGAAATTTTCAAATACAAATCCTAGATCTTAATGGTATCTGTGGTTCATGTTATATACCAGTTCTCTTTATGATGTGTTTGATAAAAGTGATTAACTCAGATAAAAATTGGAAATACAAGTACATAAACGGATTGCTGGAGGTCAGACACAGTCATCTCTAGAAGCATTTCATTATAATACACTCTGCAAATGAAGCATAATAATTCTACAATTTTGAAGTAATTTACTAGACACTCAAAGCTTTGCATTACTTTTTGATGTGACTCATTGTTACAATAAAATAAGAAGTTAATTTACCCTTCTGTCTGAGCACCATGTCACAAAGTCATGTAGGCAGCATGGAGAAAAAGATACATATGTTAAGAACATAAGCAGTACATTAAAGGAGTATCAGTAGTAGGATCTGAGTTTCTCACTGCATGCTTGTGAAGAGTACTATCTTCTGTGATATAACGCCGTGTAATCCGTTAAAGTTCAACCAATGTTTCTCTGAAATGTTGGTTGACTTGCTTGTCATATTCGACCCTGAAGATAGAGGCGATATTTTCCCCCTAAACGTTGGTTAACTTTCAGCGGACTACATGGCTTTATATCCCAGGTGATAATACCCTTAGTAACGATAGGTTCATCAGCAGATTCACACTCCAGCTGCCTTTACCTCTAGGATCAAGAGCCTAGATATCCATTACATAGAAAGCCAGGGGGAACCCATAGAATTGGTTCCTGTTTAGCAAAATTACCCATTCTTTGCCTGAGATATGGTTGCCTTCCTTGTCACAATCACACTATGCAGTATCTAAAAGTATAAAGGAGGAAAAACATACAAATTCATAAATGAATTACATTTGCATAATTAAAAAGAAAGATTGGGAATGATTCTATCGTTATGTTGGCAACTCTCAAATACTGAAATATAATGTTAGAGTTGGCAACATCATTGTAAACAATTTAAGAACTAGGTTATGTCTTGTTACCTAAGTGGTGTTTACTGTTACGTGTAACTACAGTTACGTGTGTAACAACAGTATCTTTATATTGTTATGTATTACTATGGCTATAAGCCTGTATGTATATATAAGGCGTACTTCTGTATCAAATCTCAGTGTCTTAATAAAGCAGGAGTAGAGTGAACACTGATTCTCACTTATCATTCGATCCACGTGAAGTAACAAAAATAACAAAAATGTCTTTGTTATATAACCTACAGTGATGCAAATTCCTCCCACATGATTCTAGCAGCTTGTCTTGTGGCCCATCGGCGTTTTCCTCATGATCGCATGCGGACAATGCAAACATTTATCTTGCCCAGAAGATGTTTAAGGAATTCAAGCAGTAATTGCTTGTAACAAAGTGGAAGTAACAAAAGTAACAGTTTATGGACCCAGGATCGTATCATTGATAAGTGTAAAAAGTATAGAAGTGAAAAGTGTTATTTAAAAGTGATCCTTTGGACTGACGCCGCTATCAAGACAAAGAAACAAGTTTCATCATGGCCACTTTGAAGCCCTTCGCGAATATTGATAGGCCCAAAGGACTCGAAAATTATAGAGAATGGTGCTTCAATATTCAAAATATTGCAGAAGACACAACACCTATATCCATCAAGAAACAAAAGGACGAGAAAGCAAGAGCCATCATTTNCTGAATTTGGTAAAAATGCAAATTCAGATTCAGCCTTTCTGTCCACAGGTAAGATTAAACATAAACCAGCAAAATGTCAAATTTGTGGTAAGCTAGGCCATATAAATAAAAACTGTTGGTTCAAAGATAAGGATAAGGCAAACAATAATAATCATTACAATCAGTATAAGCAAAAATTTAAGAGCAATCAGTCTTCTAAATCAGTTAATAGTACTGATGAAAATAAAGGATCCGATCATAGATGTAATGAAAATAAATGGAAAAATAAGACCAGCAAAAATCCATGTATATGGTGTCTGCCCATCATGTTAAAGTTAAAGAGAACACATGGGTAATAGACTCTGGTGCTTCACACCATATGACCGGAAATAAGACTATTTTGCAAAATTATAAAACACATGATTCTAAGGAACATGAAATAACCCTTGCTGATGATAACATGTTAACCAGTGCAGGTTTTGGTGATGTAAAACTTATGAATGACAATTATAGCCATATCTCAGATGTATTGCATGTACCGGGATTGTCTACAAATTTGTTGTCTGTAAACTCAATTGTAAATAAGGGTACAATTGTGTTATTTACCAAAGACTGTTGCAAGTTATATGATTCTGATGATTTTCAGATAAGAGGCAAAGTTCTTGCCAAAGCATATCCCGAAAATGGGATTTATTGTTTAAATACCAAAGTTAACATGACCCAATCTGCAAATACAGCAACTAAAGATAAGATTAATACTAAAAAGAAAAATCACAAATGTGAAAAATCTTGTATTAATACTGTAAAGAATGAACAAGAGTACCCAGC